AGAAAGAAAAGGCACCCTAAAGTTGGGATTATTGCAGAATAATCAAAAGTTGGGATTATTTAAAGTAAATTGGGCAAAGTTTGGATTAAAAAACTGTATTAATCCTTTTAAATAAATACACTTTTTGTGGCTACGAGACAAATATATATGTAAACAAATATATTTTAGGGGTATAAATGTCCGTACACTATTCTAAAGAGTTTAAAAAAAGAGACAATTATCATTAATGAGGGAAAATAAGTAAATAGACATTTTAAAGGATATAATTGTTCAAACACTATTCATAAAAGTTATCTCATATTTTTAAAAAAATAAAGAAATAATACGGAGTATTTCATCCTTCACTTTTCTATGATCACGTATTCTATTTTGGTCGGCTTCTTTCTATATTTCTAAACCTTCCTAATTTACCGTCATATTTACACATCCCAACGCATCTACTCTCAAAGGAGTATTATTAACTTCCAATCAATTTTTCTTATTTACCAAAATATTTACATAACTATATATCTTTTTTTACAAGATTCAAATAAACTATCTTCATTTATCAAAATATTTACCGGCTCTCAAAACAAATATTCTCATTTTACTCACTCCTAAGTCCCAAAGACTTTTTCTTAATACCCATGTTTTAACCAAACGCAAACCATAGACAAAGTGACCAAGGAGGCAAGGAGTGTACGTACTACGTAGTGATCGAATAATGGCAATTGGCGACATGTTGTGAGATGACAACTTAAACATTATCTTTTTGTTTTAATAATATATACAAGTATATAAATATTGATTACTCCTTCTATATTTTAATAAGTGTTATACTTTGACTGACACATAATTTTAGATAATTTAATTGACTTAAATAAAATAAGAGGTAAGTGGAATAGTTGGTATTAAAAAATTGTAAAAGAAAGATAGTGGGGTTAATAATTTATTGAAAAGTAATGAATGTCAAAGGGAAAATAATAATAATAATAATAATAATAATAATTTTATAATAATAATAATAATAATAATTTTATAATAATAATAATAATAATAATAATAATAATAATAATAATTTTATAATAATAATAATAATAGTAGTAGTGGGTTTGAGTGGGGACCATAAAATGTAGCTTTTGCCACAAAAGGAAGTGTAACACTTATTAAAATACGGTCAGATTTGATAAGTGTACACCCTCTGTTTTTAAATACTTACTCCATTTCTCCATGCACAGTGTTTTAGGAGGAATTGGAGAAAGTAATAAAATATGAAGGTGGAAGGTGGAAGAATAAAAAATTGTAAAAGGCAAAAGTAGTTGAGAGAACTGAAGAAGAGAATATTAAGTTAATTAAATATGATTTATGTTGGGTCCATTAATTAAGAGATGAATTTAATATTATAAAAGCTTTCCAAATAGGAAAATGGAGCGAGTATTTAAAAATGGTCGAAAATAAAAAGTGAAGCAAGTATTTTAAAACGGATGGAGTTACACTTATTAAAACACGGATAGAGTATAAAGTTGACTAAAATTTAAATTTGCCTACATGAATAGTAAATGAAAGGCTTTTTAACGGTGGATTGGACATTTGGGCTAATTAATTATGAGAAATTTAGGAGACTCTTACATAATTCAACATTTCAACAAGTGGCATTCTTATACGGTTATACCTAACACGTTTGTGACTTATCTCTTATAAATGACTCTTTTTAAAGCTATATATAATATAATTGAAAGAGGGAAGAAAAGCAAAGTTATGTAGAAAATAATTGAAAAAACATTTGGAATTTTTATATACCTAATTTATGTAGAAGCAGTTCCAATGATATAAACTTCATAATTGTTAAACTAGTTTTTGGTCCAAAAAATGTCCAAAACCATTATAATATGAAATTAAAACCGTTGTTTAGTTTTAAATTATAAAATAAATAAATGGATTGGAGCATTTGGGCAGATATAATGGGCAAATATAGTGTTAGTGAACATAATTAATTATTACTTTAATTTATTTTTATTTTTTTTTGAAGTTAAGTCTCTTTTTCTTTAAGGAAAAAAAATAAAAAATTAAGTATCTTATCTATTAAAAATAAGATAGTAAGATGATGATATGAACACAAATAATATATCTTAGATGGTAAATTATTTGTCCAATACGTGAAAATTATAGGTTCAACCCATTTTTATGTGAAATAAAAGTGATTAAAATGGGTTCGGCCCGATTTTAGGCGGACTTTCTACATAAAATTTTGGAGAGAAATTATTTTTATTAGGCAGGCCATGGAGAAGCATTTTTCACTTTTTATTTTTATTTTATTTTTTTTGCCTGATTTGAAAAGCTTAATTTAATGTTATGGGGTTTGGGTCAGCCCAACAACCTATGCCCGACTCGCCTTAGTTTTTTATCATTCGCTTAGCCATAATCACCTCTATATATGTGAAGCTTATTAAATAAATTGTAAATGAGGAATAGTACGGTTTGTTCAGGAGAATATGTCATGAAAAACGAGTGACAACAATTGAGTACACATAGAGAATATAGAGAATTTATCACAAAAAACGAGGAATGACAATCGAGTATTAATAAAAAATCACGCATGAAACGATAAACCAATTATGTCTGAACTTATTTTTGCTAATATGATCTAATCTGAATTTATTTTTTCTAATCAAATCTAAAATAAGTCAAAATAAAGTGAACTAAACGTGGCCTTAGTTATTATTGAATTCTTGATTTCTGCACCTATACTCCTCAATCCTATTTAGTGAAAATTCTATTTTCATGTTTAAAATTTTAAAACTTCGACCACAAATTTTCATTAATATTTATAAAAAAAATAAAAATAAAATAGTAAGCTAACATATTGTTGGATATATTTCAATGCTTATAATAAATTTTTTAAAAAATTATATTAATGCATAATAAAAAGATATTGATGGTTAAAAATCGCGTAAAATAAAGCAGACACAATATTATGAAAACAAAATGACATTGAACAAATATCTAAATAAAAAAAATCCAACAAAGAAAAAATAAAAGATCTAAATACAACAAAAAAAATATAATTCCTTTGTTTTTTTAGTAGAAACATTTTCTTTATCGTGATTGCCAAACCACAACTTTAACGATTAATATCTCTAATTAGTAATAATTAAAAATTATAAAAAGTTTATATTAATAAAATATAGTTCCTTTATTCAAATTATGTGACACGTTTGTCAATGCAAGAATTCAATCGAAATTATTTAGACTTATACCATTGTAAAAAAAAATAAAAAAATTAAAAATTAAATTTTAATTAAGTACCCATTGAAACAAATTTAATATGATTGACATGACTATGTTTTATACATCTATAAATCACAAATGTTTGTCAAAACAAAGTTTAAGAATAATGTCAAAAATCAATATATACATATCTAATTTGGAACAGATGAAGTATATAGATTGAGACGATTTAAACAAGCTCCCACATGACTATGTTTTAATATACTATAAATCACAAAAGTTAGCCAAAACAAAATTTGTATAGCGTCAAAAGTCAAAACGTGTTAACTTAAAAAACGGAAGAAGTATTCGAGTTGGAGCCGAGTGAAGAGAGATGAATAAGGAAGAGAAAAGGGAGACGAAGGAGAAGGGAGGTATTAGATCAAAGGATGAGGAAATGAGAGAGAGAGAGATGGGAGATAAGAGAAGGAGATGAGATTTTAACTTATTAAATATCATTAAATCTCCATATATTTAACAATCATATTAAATTAGAATCAATTAATCTCATTTTATAGTCTTCAAAAAAAAAAAACAAATTTTTTTAAAAAAATCTCATTTTATATGCAACTTCATGAGATATTTTTTTTGTTGGTAAGGAGAAGGGCTCTACTAGTCCAGAACATTTCACAGGTTCTTCCAACCTGGGAAACTTCATGAGAGATATGTTACTCATTAGTGGCGGATCTAGAGGGTACACAGAGGTACAGCTATACCCCTATTTCGCGAAAAAAAAAATTGATAGTAAAAAGACCGCCTATATCTAATAGGAAGTCTCTTAGATAATGTTATGTAGTTTGCCGTAGCAACTAATCAGTTCGCCTTTTTTGTGTTAAATTCAAAGAGACATCCTATTTAAAAAACTGGTCTTTTAGGTGATATTTTTAATATTTTCCACGCCATACTAGTACTTTTTCAAAGAGACCTATTGCTACAAATAACAGGTCTCTTAGGTGATATTGTTAATTTTTTTCCACAATAGATTAGTACTTTTGATCAAAGAGACCTATTGTTACAAATAACAGGTCTCTTAGATAATCTTTTTTTTTAGTCACATATTTAGTTACTCAATTATAAGCCTTGTTGTCGGAAAATAGGGTGTATAGTACACACAAATACTAATACAATAGTGAAATGGTTTATTAACTCAAAATTTAGTGAGGAAAAAAAATTATATATTAAGCTCCACATATTACTTTATACTTTGTAATTATTTTTTTTTGTTAAATTTAATTTCGTACCTCCATTCCCCAAATTCTAAATAGGGTGTATAGTTCAAACTGCTTCCAATTTATGGAGAATTGGAAGCGGTTTTGGCGCCAAACCGCTTCCAATTCTCCATTTTTTTTATTATTAACATAATAATATTACAAGTGACCTTTCACAATAATTTTAGTATTATTAATTAATAATAAAATAATATTATTAATCGATATAAAATTATTATTATTAATTATTAATAAAATTAATATTATTGATTAATAATAATATTAATATTACAAACAATAATACAATGATATATATAACACGAAATAATTATATATATTAAAATTAACATCATTAATATATTTAATGAACAATAATATTTAATTACACCAAAATATTAAACACACTCTGTAAGAATGGCAAACGTCCATGTTAGTCAAGGGCAAAAAAAAAAAAAAAAAAAAAAGGGAAGCCCAGGCAGGCTGCACAGCCAGCCCAGGCAGGCTGCACAGCCAGCCCTGGCAGGCTGCACAGCCAGCCCTGGCAGGCTGCACAGCCAGCCCTGGCAGGTCGCACAGCCAGCCCAGGCAGGCTGTGCAGCCTTGATCGTGGTTCCTCTGGGTTATGAGGTTGCGGAGTTCCTCAAATAACTGAGCTTGGGTTGTGTTGTTCACCGTCATTTGTGCGTCTTGCTGTTGACGGAATAGCTCAAAACAACCTTCGATTTTCTGCTTCAAAAACAAAGCTGCTGTGATGGAACCACCTTGACGACCTCCTGTGTTAACCATATCAGCAACTCCTGATTTCATTGAGTCCAAGTAACTTTCTTCCAAAGGCATCCTCCAGAGTTTCTCTCCAGTAGCTCCTGATGCAGAAAACACCTCTTTGGCAAGTGCATCATTGGGTGTAAAGACACCTGGAAAACAAGCAGGGGATGAATAAAAAAGCCAGTAGGATAGGAGAAACTCTTCTATTTTTTCAAGATACAATTAATTGATGAAAGCATATTTAACTCATATCCTCACATGATCAGGCTAAACAATAAAAATCTTGATGCACTATGATGACAACATCAACCACACTAGGCAAATTAGCTACTGGTAGGGAAAGATCATAAATATGCACTTAACCTGCTATGGAAGGTCCCAGAGCAACAACACAGGCTCCAGTTAATGTTGCGAGGTCAATTATCTGCCAAAGAAGGTACATCATGATGATTAGTGCATCTCTTAGATATAAATTTTACACAAAGATAAAGGTTTGTCAAAGATAAGTTTTTCAGTACTACTGTATAAAAAAAGTCCATTAATATCTCATTATAATTACACTATCTGATCATCCACAAAAACATATTTTCATGTACTGCATAATAAACTTTGCCTTTGAGAAGCTTAACAGCTCCATGACCTCTATATACATCAACCGTCAAAATTTAGTTGGATTACTTTTTTGCAGCGAATAATCGAAGTCACTCACCTAGAGCTAAAGCTCATCTAATTTTGAATGAGATACATAATATTTCAACAAAGAATAAACTCTCAAGACAATATTCTACTTCGTGATCTTGCATTGAAAAATGCTCGGTGCACTGGGAATTACCATCAGAAGTTTTCTAGGCTGGATAGGTTTATTTTTTCCAAGGACATCAATGTAACAAACTACAACAGACCACCTGTGAGTCTGTGACCCTCACTAACATGAGGCGGCAAGACAAGCACTAGCAACAACCAACCAAACAGCAGCCAGGCAGGAGGCCAAACAAGCACTTGGTAGTGGGTAGAATAACTGTATTTTTATAGGGTACGCCCATCCGGTAATCTACAATCTACTAAGCTCCGACTAATCCGAAATCCATCCTGTCCATGTCTTAAATGAGGGAATTACTTTGTTTACAGGATAACTACAGAGTATCATAACAGTAGTGTCTAGAGCAAAATGATATCTAATCATTGATTTTCAGCAGGACATGTTGAAAAAGTAGTATTATACTAATAATTATCCATATTTTTGTTCTACCCACAAAGCAAAATCATAATAAACAGCCATTTTACAGATTAACAATAAATTAAACAGCACAATTTGTCTCTTCACTTTGTCAGAATCTTCAGCAATACTCACTTGTTAAAAGAGAAACAAAATGCCAAAAGTGTTTCCCTAAATCCTTAAAAAACCAAAAATTAAGATTTTTCATACATTAAAGAAGGAAGAGTAGGAAAGAATCATCATGAATTTCTCGTATACCCTTCAATTAATAAGGAAACTACATCAAATGACCACTAAATTGACTAGATCAATAACAACAATAGAGCCACTTCACAGAAGCATTTTTTTCATATATACATATAAATATCGCAACTATATAATGCCAATTATCATAACCTCAAACCACTTCATTCAGCTTTAGTCATTTACCAAACATTGAACATTACTCCCTAACCTACATAATTAAACACCATAACAACTACAACAACACCCTTTCACTGACCACATCACACTAATAACCAATTTTACACACCATTAAGAAATAGTTCATTTACTTTAAATCATCAAATACCATTCAGATGAACTGAAACTTTTCCAAATCCTTAAGGCCAATTTTTCCATCCTAACTATGAACAACTGAAATAATATGTCACATTTTAATTTTTTTAAGGCCAATCAAGTTCTTAATTACCAAATTAACACAACAAACCAATTGAGATAATACTACCCTTACCAATTGCAAACATCCAGAGAAATTAAAAATTGCAAGCAACTGCCCACCTTCTCACAAATTCACAATTAGCTATTACATAAAAATAACAAAACAACTGACCTTTTCAGCAGGATTACGGGCCCGTCCACAGCTTCTACCACCCCTTCTTTCCCTCTGACCGCCTATGGCACAAATAACAGGAATTTTAGAGAAATATGCAAAGAAACCTTAAATTTGAAATCTAAAGGGGAAAGTTTAAAGAAGCTCATACCATGAACACCAATAAAAACCCTAGAAATCAAACCACAACGTCGTTATCTCTCGCGACCACCGTGACCATTAGTGAATGAGGAGGGAGAAGAAAGAGAGAATTTAATCTGTGAGCGGCGGTGGTTATGGATGTGGTTGCAGCTGCGGCTATGGTTGCCTTCATCTTTGAGGAGAAGGAGAGTGAAAGGAGAACGCGAAATGAAGGAAAAGCGGGGAAGGGTTCATATTTTATTTTGGATCCCGCTATTTTTTTTTAGAAAGGGCAGCGGTTTGGAGTTTGAACCGCTTCCCATTACATTTTTGGGAGCGGCCCAAACTGCTTCCAATTCTATCCCCTTTTTTTTTGGCCGGGTTTTTGTAGGGAATTGGAAGCGGATTTTAATAACCGCTTCCAATTTGTGGCTTCCCATTACCTTTTTTCTTCTAGTGAACCTAAATAATAATTACTCGTATAATTATATAGAGTAGAATACGAGTATTAGCTTCTCTTAAAAATGTTACAATCTATCAACTTCTCTAAAGGTGAGAATCAAGGTAGGCTTAGTGGTTAGAGACCCTCCTTCCATCCCTATGAGAGGAGTTCGATTCTCACCTCGAGTAAGTGGAATCTCTAATTTTCCCCTTACTTGCAAGAGATTTCTTCTTACCTTAAATAATAATAATAATAATAATATAAAAAATAAAAAAAAATAAAAACTTCCCTAAAGCAAGGAGAATTCTTACCCTCTTTATTCGTATATAATAATAGTAAAAGTTATGTTGCATGTCATCATCAAGTCGCTTTGGCCGAGTGGTTAAGGCGTGTGCCTGCTAAGTACATGGGGTTTCCCCGCGAGAGTTCGAATCTCTCAGGCGACGTGTGTTTGCTTTTTTGGACGAAGCAGATTTTCCACAATACACTCCGTTGACAATTTGACACTCTGACAATTTTACCACTAGCATTAGCCTCAAAGACATATGTCTTTTTTCGACAAAGATACATGTCTAATATGCAATGATCTTTTAAAAAAATATTGACTTACGTAGAAGTATTTTTTTATTTTATGTTTGAAAGTGAGAATTATTATATTTATTTATCTCATTGTATTTTCACTTAATTTTTTTTTTTTTTTTTTTGAATGGAATAGGAAGGGGTGATTTCATTAAGGGTCCGTTTGGTAGGGTGTAAAACATTTTCAATGTAAAATGGTATTTCATGAAAATCATTTTACAATGGAAAACTCAGTTTCAAAAAAGTTTTCCGTTGTTTGGTTGAATGGAAAATGATTTTCCATTTTAAGCATTTTCCATTGTTTGATTGAACTGAAAATTCAATTGTGAGGGAAAATGTTTTCCCTCCACTTGTGATGGAAAATGTTTTCCTTCTAAATCGGGGGGAAAATGTTTTCAATAAGCTGGAAAATGATTTTTCACCCCAAGTTTTACATTTTAATGTCTTACACCAAACCAAACAATGTAAAATGGGAAAACACTTTTCAGTGAAAATGTTTTACGCCCTACCAAACAGAGCCTAAATAATAATAATCATTCGGCACTTACAATCATCCCTTGAGAGATCTAAATTCTCAATACAAGTATTTAACACTTCTAAACTAATGACATCGCTTCTAAACTGCTCCTAAATAATTTTAGATGTCTTTGCATCGTTCTTGACGGAACTCCTTGCAAAAGTGATAAAACTTGATTGGTCATCGAGATCGGCAAATTTGCAAGACGAACCTTCTAAATCTGCACCCCTAAACCAATTGACCCACAATTTCACAAATTTACAAGACGAATCTTCCAAATTTGTATCCCTGCACATACAAAAAACAAACAAACAAACAAACAATACTAAAATCCCAACATTAGGGAACCGACTAAACCCTACATTGAGGGACTGACTATAATCATTGTACTGTTGGTGATATTTATTGGCTAAAAATATTAAATCGAAGAAGATATGGGGCTTTATTTTCACTTAAGTTTCATACCCCTTATTAACGATTTATTTTAAAAAAGGGGTTGGAAATAAATTTGGCATCAGGATTTAGCAAAATAAAAAGCGGATGACGTATGATGTATTAATTCAAAATTTTACATGGGAAAAATACATTTATAAAACACAAAAACGATATAAAATAAGATTTTGAAGAGTTTGTAGAAAAAATGTAGATTTTTTGGTTTAAATGTCGTCGGAGTTTATTATTTTTACCAAATTATCGCCGGAGTAAGTTTTTTTTACCAAATTGTTGCTATGGGTATTTTTTTTTACCAATCTGGTCAATTGACCCCTTGAAAATATTTGTTTACATATTTTCACTCATTATGTTGCCAACTCAAAGAGTTCTCGAACAAGACTAGCTATGGCGCGCATAAGCCACCCTAGTTTTTTGAAAAGTGTAAGCAAAATTCTTGCCTTTTCTAAAAGTTATGTTTTACTCTCTATTATTATTAGTACTAGATTAGTGTCTGTGTGAAGCACGGTAGTAATAATCTTTTTCCTATAATGAATTTCGATATAATATAAAAATGAGGCAACTCATGTGGAATAAACAAATGCAATGCATATAGAAAAATAAAATAATAAGGCAAAATTCATTAAAACTACCATTTAGAAAGAATTTTTTTTTTGTTGAGTAGTTGAGTTGAAAATATTTAAAAGTAGTGTACAATATATTACATTAATAATGCATATTATTCCCAATAAAATTATACAATCTAGTGACTATATGACTAAAGACTTATTTATAAATGCCTTTTAATAAACATCAAAACATTAATCAAACAACAAACTAAAATCTACACTAAAACTATTGGCACAACATACATGTAAATATATAAATTACAAATAAAATAATATATCATCTTTATATCCAATAAAATAATTTCAATGGAAATAAATACTACTTAGATCATTAAAGGCAATCACAATCAATAATTAGGCAACACTAACCTATATTATTAGTAGTACATTTTTAGTTTATGGGTTAATGCTATACATGATATCGTCGCTCTTTGTTATTATATAAAAATGTGTTTGAAAGCTATCCAATAATTCTAGTTTGATCATTGTTTGTTTATTATTGTCGATGATAGCTATTTATCCAAAAAAAAAATTAAAAAAAAAACAAAACAAAAATATGTCACTCGTCACTATGTCCGACGTGTTTTTTAAAATGCAGCTTATTTATGAATGTCGAATGTGATAAAATTATTATCTCAATAAAGTGTTTCAGCAAAAGATAATAACTTTTTTTGTATTTACTAAGATATTAACTTTTTTTTTTAATAATGTAATAACAAAAAATTGATTGATATTTTAAATTTTCGACTTCGACATATAATATAGTTGTCGAACACAACATTTATTTTACGGTCATATCTAATACTCCATTAGTCTAATAAACAAAATAAAAAGGAATTTGAAAATAAATAAATTAAAGTGACGTTTTAAAATAATTTGTTTAATATCAATTACTTCGATATGAATCAATTTTATTATTACTTTTTCGGTAAAACTCAATAATACTCGTTTAAAGGATAATTAAAAAAGAGTTGGAAAACTATTTTACGTAAATGTGCATGGAAAATTTTAGACATAATAAAAAGGAATACATTTTATATAGAGATAATATATAAGTTTGGAATAATATTATTATAGTTTTATTATAAAAATATTCCAAAAATAAAATATTTTTTGTTAAAAGTGGAGGAGGAGTTTTGGAGCGAAAAAACAGCACCAGGATGTGACATATGTCACTCCCGGTGTCTGTTTTAGTATTAAATTATTGATTGATTGATTGATTGACAATATCATTTTACCTTCTTTACTTAAACAATAGGAAAAATAGCAAAAAAAAAAAAAAAAAATACAACCTTTGGCTCATTCTTCTTAAATAATACAACCTTGGAGGGTATCAATTTTAAACCGCCAAAAATCGAATGCAACCTATTTAACAGGTTAACTGTGCCACGTGTCACTATATGATTGGGTTAAATAAACTTTTTTGTTTGCTTTTCTCTCTCCTTCCCCCAAACACCACCAGTACTCCACCTATCCTCACCACCACTGCACCACTCCGGTCCCCATCCCCGCCTCCACCAAAACCACCCCTTCCCCTTCCCAACCATCGCTGCCAACCCCAACCACCAGGCCGAAACTCCCCGCCCCACCCTTCACAAGTCTCAATTCCACCTACACCCTTCAGCGGCCCCGATCCTCCCCTTCCCGACCACCGTACCGCTGCCAACCCCCACCACCAAAAATTCCCACACACCCTGATTCCTCCCCTTCCCGACCACCGTACCGCTGCCAACCCCCACCACCAAAAATTCCCACACACCCCGATTCCTCCCCTTCCCGACCACAATAGCCCCGATTGCTCCCCTTCTCGACCACCAATTGCCATCCTTCACCAATCCCGATTCCAACCCTTCCCTCCATTATCAAATTAAAACCTCTTCAAACAGGGTTAGGGTGGGGGATAACAGTCGGCCGGTTGGGTGGGGATTGTGGAAGGGTAGGTTCTGGGTGGTTGGAGGTCGAGGATGTGCAAGAAGGCAGGCTTGTGGGTAAGGGGAGGTGGGCTGACCATCGTGGCTGGCGGGAAAAGGAGTTGGTACATCGGTTTAGTAGGTTACAAGTTCTTTTGCCCGTTTAAAATTGAGACCCCAAAAGGTTGTAATATTAATTTATAATTCAAAGGTTGTATTATTTAAAAAGAACGTGCCAAAGGTTGTATCATTTTGACAACTCTTTTGGTTAGCTAATACGGAGTCAAAATATGACATTTATATCTATATCTATCTATACTTAGTATTTAAAAACAAAAACCATAAATCTATATTAAGCCACATATTCACCATAGTATAAAAAATAAAATAAATAATAATGTTTAAATCATTATACATTTCGAAACTTGCAAATTTAAGTAAGAAAATGAAGTGTTTAATTTCTAACATAATAAATTAAAGTTAAACTAATTAGTGCACATTACATAAATAATAAAATAGTCTTTTCATCTTCTATACTTAAAATTTAAGTTAAACCAATATGTCATTCCATACCCCCACAATATGCATGTATATATACCTAACTCAATTCCAAAACAACACTGACGCACAAATATGCAACACATTTTAAAAAAACATAACCTAGGTAATAATCCGTACATCAAACGGGCCAAAAGGCTAATTATATATCAATGGTTGAGACTTGAACGTACGATTTGTTCTTTTGCACATCTTAAAATAAGTTGTTTAACTCTAGCAACTTTGTTTCCCCATATCCCTCATTGAGATTTTTTTTTTTTTTTTTTTTTTCACTTGAATCATTTTGACTTTTACACTATTTACATTTCCTTTTTAGTTTTGACCGTTTTTGTGAATTATATGTAAGGAAAACTGTTTAGGGTAAAAATACCCTTAGATACGTGGCCCAATGAAGGCTTGCCACGTGTCAATCTTGCAACGGTCAGCGAGGGCCCAATCCCTTTGCGACACGTGTCCTTTGTGCCCTAATTGAGGTACAGTTCTCCCTTACTATAAATAGTAGGGGTAGACCTCATTGATGGGGATCGCAATTTAATTCCAACCACCCAAAAACACAAAACCCCATTACAAACGCTCTCCAGTCGAGCAGCATTCATTGTTCTTATTTCCACTTAAAAAAGATACTAACTTAATCTTCGGAGGTGGAACTCCCACCCCCAATCCGGAGTCTCCGTTACTTGTGCAGGTACAGGCGTAAGAAGGAAGTCTGCTAGGAAATTGTAACTCTCCCGAAGGACACATAGAAACCCCCAAACATCTGGCGCCGTCTGTGGGGAGAGTACTTTCTAGATGACATCTGAGCCTATACTACCTGGTAAAGGCAATCATCCCACTGGGGAGGTTGAGGTCCATTCGGACCAAGATACAGCCGATAACTATGAGTTGGAAACCTACAC